ATCGGGAGGAAGCTCTCCTTACTGCAACCCACATTATCAACCGATTGCTCTCTAAAGTATTAGGTAATCAAACCCCTATGCAACTCCTCTCTCAATTTTGTCCTAATATTCAAACACAAATAACTTTACTTCTCTAATCGTTGGTTGTCTGTCTTTTGTTCTTGTGTATAATCATAACAAACCTGAATTATCATTTGTGTTTGCGGGTATTCTCCAACACACAAAGACTATACATGTTATCACCCACCTCATAAAAATTGTACATTTGTATTAATGCCACGTTTGAAGGAGGTCAATTTTTTTTCTCTCAAACTTACCTGAAGGGGCTGGGGAGTTTAGTCTTATTTCGGAAGATGAGACAAAATTTTCTCTCACCTACTCTTTCTTGACCTACCCGCATTACAACCTTACTTTTCACGGGAGTCCAAATCACTTTCACAAGAGTCACACCGAGAACCCTAATTGTCTCCACAAGAATCAAACCCTGAAATAGTTGAAATAATCCCTTCCAATGACAAGTTTGACTCTATGAGGTATACACGGGTGTATTCAAGAATGAGAGGTACTGGAACCTAATCTTGTGAAAGTCCAAAACTCAAGTCTTAATCCTTAAAATAAGATATGCATAAATCCAATTTCCTCACCTATTCCAGTTGGTTACGACTTACCTATTGCCTAAAGAAAAGGACAAGAAAATGCACCAAACATTCAAGATATTTATTAGCCGAATCAATGTCTTTTCACTGATTTTCTCAATATCACAAAAGTTTCTTAGTCAACTTAAACCCCATTCCAATTCAAAATACCTTGTCTGAGGCATTATTTGATGAGAATTGGAGAGAGGCTATGAGAATAGAAATAAAGCACTTAAGAAGAATATAACATAGGAAATTGTAGTGCTACTGATACACCTAAAATATATAGTATTTTTATACATATTTTTATACCTATTTTTGAGATATTGCGCTTTAATGAAATGTATTTATGTGTTTTTCTTTCGGGTATAATCAAATGGATGAAAAATGCTAAAAGGAGTGAAAAATGGTCATATTTGAAGCAAAAATGAAGAAAGATGAAAAAATAAACTAGGAAGCCTAATCACCCAAGACTGACGCCTAAGCGCCAGAGGTCTCGCGCCTAAGCGCTAGGTTAAGTGTCAGAAGTATTTATGTGATGAATTACTTAATTTGAACGAATTTTTGAAGAGCTGTTTGAAAAAAATCTTGATAAAAATGTGAAAAATAGCCCATGGACATAAAAATTCATTCAATTGGCTTTTGAGGAGGCAACTTCTAGAAGATTCATTGAATAGATACACCTTTTTGAAGAGACGCAAAGACATCCCTTGGATTTTTATAAGAAAAGACTTAGATTTTTCAAGAGAAGAGGTCAGCCACCCATCAAATTTACAACCATCGTTCGCTGGCCACTTTCTTTTTAAGTGTTTAGTTTGTATTGTGAGTGAAGGAAGAGAATTGAAAGGAATTTCAAAACATTTATTGGAGAGGATTTGAGATAAATGTTTATCTTTGTGACTACACTTAGTTTTAATTTAGATTTCTTGTTTGTGTGCATGATTTCTACTTTTAAATTCATATGTGGTTGTGTTTTCTCCATGGATTCTGAGTAGTTTTCTTTATTTTTTTCCTTAAAATGATAAGTGATTAAGTGTTGAGAGGAAGTTGTGTGAAGTATTAGGCTTCAATGTTGGAAGAAGCTGGGGAGATTTGATGATTTGAAATCTTGCACTTCATTTACTTCTTGATTTGACCAATTAAAATATTAATACTTGTTGTTAGAACATGTAAAATGCGAGATGATATTGTTTCAGTCAACAAATGATTTATAATCACATATTGATTTCATGGATGAGAATATAGTTCATGGGGTTGAGTGCAAATAAGTAAGGAAATAAACTTTTCAATGGTGTAGAATTGGAGGACTTTAGAGTGACAGACTAAAGACTCCAATTTGATTTATAGTTTTAGGTTTTGATACGAGATGTTAGCCCCAAGTGAAGAGAGAAGATAGAACTCTAGAGTGAGAGCTAGTATCTTCCCTGCCTAATCGGTCTTCCAGACTATTTAAACTATAGATTAGTCAATGTTCTTTATAGCATCTCTAGTGAGGGTAAATAATATTATTGCTCCTATTTGACACAATACATTTATAATACTTTCACAACAGAATTTCTCTACTTACTACTGATTCATGATAAGGAAAAAAAATATTTTACTTATATTGATTTCATCTTGCAAGTATTTAGTTAAGTTTATTAGTTGTTTACTTTATTTTTCATAAACAAAAAATTACAAAAAGAATCGAATTTGCATTCCTATTTTAGTATCTTAAGTTTAATTAGCTAAGTAGATTTTTGTCATCTAAAATTTTTAAATTTCTAAAAAGCATATAGCATTTTCTCTGAGGGTTCGATAATCAAAAAGTTTTATATTATTTGATAATGATACGTATACTTGCGTAGTATCCCATATTTAAATATTATAATTGTATTCTTATTTAGTTCATAGTGAAAAACTTGCCTAGCTTTGGATCAAGTTTTTGACTTTGTTGCAAATTAATAATAATTATTAAGGAAATTAAACATATAATCACATACATTACATTTTACATCTATATAACATTTTACATCTATATATAGAAAGTCGGGATCAGCTACCACAAAAAAAAGGTGGAATGCAAATTGGTGCTTGCTATGAAATTCAAGCAAGGTTGGTTGCTAAAGGCTACACACAAACATATAGAGTGGACTATCGAGAGACATTTAAACCAATGGAAAAAATGAATACAAGAACTGTTCTATTATCCTTGGCCATAAATTTCAATTGGGATTTATAATAATTTGATGTAAAGAATACCTTTCTTCATGGTGATTTAGAGGAAGAGATATATATATGGATATTTCACCGGGCTTTGGAGGAGAGATAAAAGGGAACAAGGCTTGTAAAATGAAAAAGACATTATATGGACTCGAGCAGTCTCCAAGAACTTCATTTGACAGGTTTACAAAAGTGATGCCTACTACTTGGTATAAGCAAAGTCAAGATGAACATAGATCATTCTTCAAACACGAGTTTAGGGGGAGTTATTGCTCTTCTAGTATATGTTGATGACATAATCGTTGCTGGGAATGATGAGAAAGAAAAGGAAGCCTAAAAAATTGCTTGGCAAATGAATTTGAAATCAATGATTTGGGAAGTCTGAAATACTTTCATGGAAGAGAAGTAACTCTTTCTCGACAAAATTTCTTCATTTCCTAACAGAAGTATGTGGTTGACCTCTTGAAGGAAACTGATAAATTGGCATGTAAACCTATTTCAACTCTGATTGATCCCAATCACAAACTTGAAGAGGCGAATAATGACAAGGCTGGGTAAAGAACTATTCCGGAAATTGGTTATAAATGTAATATATTTGGCACACACTCGGCCCGACATTGCCTAAATTGTGAGTGTAGTAAGTCAATTCATGCACAACCCTAAAGAAAGTTACCTACAGGTTGCAAACCAGATACTTCACTAGCTAAAAGCTAATCCAGGAAAAAGAATTTTATTCAAGAAAGGTGAGAAGCTAATTCTTGAAGCTTACACGGATGCAGACTTTGCAAGATATTTGATTGATAGACGTTCCACAATAGGTTATTGCACGTTCTTAAGTGATAATATGGTCAGGTGGTACTTCAGGGCTATCGCTCAAGGTGTGTGTGAGATACTGTGGTTGAAGATCATCCATGAAGATCATAAGATAAAATGGGAGAAACCTATGAGAGTATACTGTGACAATAAGTCCACAATATTGCTCATAATCTGATACAACATGATAAGACAACACATTGAGATTGATAGGCACTTTATAATGGAGAAGTTGGAAAAAAAAATTGATATGTACTCCTTATGTGCCTTTGAAGGAATAACTTGTGGATGTGTTTACAAAGAATTTAATATTCATGACTTCTCAATAATTATATCCAAGCTGGGAATGGATGATATCTATTCACCAGTTTGAGGGGAGGGGGGGAACTATTTTAGGGAAGTTTTAAGTTAGAAAAATTTAAATTTTGGAAAGTTTTAATTCGGGAATGTATTAAGTCCCTTGATATGAGGATTCAATTTAGGAATAGAATAATTCCCCTTGAAATGGGTGTCCAATTTAAGAATAGAATGAATCCCTACATATGAGAATATAATTTAGGAAGATAATATTTTATTTTTATCATTTCTTTTTTCCCGGTTTGTATATATATTCATTATACAATGTATATAAATTGGTTAGAGTGCTTAATGAAAGGGTGCCCAAAATCTCATTCCATATTTTTTTTATTTACTTATTATGCCAACTTTTTCATTTACCATTGTGAAGTTTATTGTGATTTTTTATTGCTTAACACTTAGATCTATAAGCATATTTGATATAATTTTATTTTACAAAATTTATCAAGTTTTTATGTTATTCTCTTATTTCATAAGATTCTTAATGCACTTTTCTATTTGTAATAATTAACTTTAGAACTTGTCTTTTGTCAATATCATAATTTTTTTTTTATATAGTATCCAGGGAACTTTAATCAATCATACCTATTTATCACTGATTTTCTAGTAATATTGAAGTTTAAATAGTAATTTCACGAATGTATGCTTTATATGATAGAATTCTTTGTTTGAGAATGGAAAGATTCTTTGTTTGAGAATGGGAAAATTCTTTGGCTAGTAAAATGTCTTCAATGGCCTCACTGCTGGCTTGCATTCATAATTTAAGTAAATTGTTGTTGATCCTATTGCTGTATTTAAAGGAATTACTAATGATTCTGTTGTTTGATGAACATTGGATGAGGATTATCTGTCAGTATGTTTTAACAGCTACCATTGAAGTTCTTAAATATTGTTCTCACGTACTAGCATAAGACTATTTGGAGCTCGAAGATAAATTTAAAACTTTGTTTTGATTTTGGGTTACTCTGTTTTGATCTTGGGTTACTCGTGCAGGCTATTGTAGTCTCTTGTTGTGGATGCTTTCATGGTCGGACATTGGGTGCAATATCAATGAGCTGTGACAATGATGCAACTCGTGGTTTTGGTCCCTTGGTTCCTGGTCAGCTCAAGGTTGATTTTGGTAATGCCAATGCTCTAGAGAAAGCATTTAAAGGTTTGTGATGTGAATTATTTATTGTCTTAAGCTAAATCCTTGTATAACTTTACCCTGTGACTTCCATAATTTTTTAAATATCATATTATTAGCTATGCTTGATTTTTCTATTCATTTTATTTTCAGAGCATGGAGATCGGATATGTGGATTTTTGTTTGAACCCATTCAAGGGGAAGCGGGAGTATGTATGCCAAATTTTTAATATCTACATGAAGTTTCTTACTTGTTTCATTTTAGCCCCCAAATCGAAAGATTTTGCAGAAGTTACTTGACTTATATTTAGCATTGTTGATCGACTTGGTTTTGCTTGGTAAATATTTTACCATTTTTAGCATTAAAAATATGTTTCTTTCTGAGAATGAGATTATTAACTACTATTATGTTTGGCTACAATATTTTAACTGCTAGAGGCCTTTTCTCTGTAGTGCACATTTCACTTCATTTGTGTAGTTAGCTCTTACCAATTTCATGAGGTTAGTGATTCCACCAGGTCTGGTTTATCTTGCTACCATGGTAGTAGGAGAGTCACGTCATGCTAACCATATAGTTCACTTTGGATGGCTTGGGGAAGCCAACCAAAGGTCACTTGGTTATTTATTTCATTGGTCACAATAATCTGTAGTTAAATTCTTGCCGAGTAATTTTATGACATTATTTATCACGATGGTTTGAGTGATCCCTCCATAGGGTCTGATAAATGCTGGGCAAAATGAGTTTTCCGTGGAAATGTTACAAAATCATGAAAGTGATCATTAGAATTTTAAATCATGCTTGATTGCAAAAAAAACAAAAAGGTTGAAGGAATGTACTAAAGCTATACAATATTTATCTTTTCTACTCGGGGGTAAACTATAGGGGGTAAACTATAAAAAACCTGTATGCTTTATCCCGAGATTATTTACATATGCAGAAATGGCGGAAACAAGTGATTAGGGAACCAGATGTAATGTTTCTTTCTGATTTTAAACAGTTTCTACATTTTTGCTCCAAGCTTGCTTTGGATAGGTCTTTTATTTGGGATGCTCACTCTGGTGATCCTTTTTTTTTTAGTGTGACGATGAATGATGCCAACCAAATTGCTTATTCTATGTCTCTTTTTTGTACCTTTTGATTTTCTATTAATGCAAAATGCACACATTTCATGGGGGTAAACTATATGGAGTTATTTGCAAGTTATAGCTCTTAAGATTGTTAAAATTAAGCAGTGATACCGGAGGAAACCCAAACCAGGACTCAAAATTGCAACTGTTATTATGGTACGCCATAAGGTTACAATGACAACTCTTGAATAGGAAATAACATAGCACAGGTAAACAATAAACAACAATGAAGACTACTGAAATTAAGGGAAAGGCAATAATATAAACAAAGATAACCCTCTGCGACAGATGCGTCAGGGTGAGGATGAAACAACAGAGGGCCGCCCCAAAGATATCAACTTGCTTACAATTCAGATGACATGCCTTATAGATTTGTGTATATATATATATATATATTTCAAACATATTTCTTGCTTAATATATTTAATATCAAGTATATTTTCTGTCTGATATGTTCTTTTGTAACTCTATAAATACCCATGGCATGTCAATGGTTGAGTGAGAGGGTGTGAGAAATCAAGCAAAAAACTGAGAAGCTTTGTATCTAGTTTTGTTGTCGACCACCTTTTTAATTAGTGAAATTTTGTTCCAGCTCTCTCATGTTTTTTTTTTTCCTGTTTATGGGGTTTTCCACATAAATTCTGGGTTGTGTAGTTGTGCTCAATCTTACTTGACGTTATTTTCTGAACACCTTCTCATACATAGCTAACATAACCCTATCACTCAAAACCTACCAGAAACACTATCCTTTAATTTTTCGTAGGGATGTTTCTTTTTTTCAAATATATATTTTTTAATTTATCTACTTTTGGTGCATCTCATGTTCTACTTTGTTGCAATTTAGGGTCAATTGCATATCATGTGCTAGGTTGTGTTAGACCGACACCTAAGGGCATTTTAGTCTTTTTATTAGTTGTTATTGTGGGATATAAATAGGGATTAATACGTTTGGGTTATGTTATACTATATGTGAGTGTTGTCTAGAATTTTAGGATTAGGATTTGGGAAAGATGGTTTGCCTGCAAATTATGGGTGTTAGTGTTATGGTTTGGAAGAGATCACATATCTCTCGAATTGTAGGTGTTTATCCTTTATGTATTTGAGCTGTGTTGTTTGATATTATTGAAATAAATTATTTTGTTGCCTAAATTTTTAAGGAAAAATCGTCTCCTTTCCACCACACCTCCGTGATCAAAACCGACTTGGGAGTAATGGCAACCAAGAAAATAGACGCTTTTGAGAAGCAATTAGAGAAAGATGTGAATCAAATCAAATTTGAAATGGATGAGCGTTCTTCAAATTATAGGTGTTAGTGTTAGGGTTTGGAAGAGATCGCATATCTCTCTAATTGTAGGTGTTTATCCTTTATGTATTTGAGCTGTGTTGTCTGATATTATTGAAATAAATTATTTTGTTGCCTAAATTCTTAAGGAAAAATCTTCTCCTTTCCACAGTACCTCCGTGATCAAAACCGACTTGGGAGTAATGGCAACCAAGAAAGTAGACGCTTTTGAGAAGCAATTAGACAAAGATGTGAATCAAATCAAATTTGAAATGGATGAGCGTTTTCCGTTCATGGAGAAGAGACTCACGACCCTGAATGACGAAGTTTGTGGAGTTTCACACAAAACCACCTCTGCCCGTCTTAGGATTGAGCGACAGTGTGGGGAACGAATGTGAGCAGCAACAATCAGAAAACTTCATGCGGCATTAGGGCACCACCGTTGCCTTAGGCAGATCTAGAGCCGTGAGATTGAGCGAAGCAATCAGAAGCTGACTCGAGCAGCAACAATTGGAAGGAATAATACGTCATTCAAATTGTTGGAATGAACCGAAGCAGGCGGGATTGTGCGAAAGAGTCGATAATAGATTAAAGCGGCAAAACTTAGAAGAATTTGAGTGAAGAAATCTGGAGCAAATTCGAGCTACAACAATTGAAAGGAATAACACGACATCCAAACGACTATAATGAATTGAAGCATGTGGGATTGAGCGAAGGAGTCGGGAGCGGATTCGAGCCACCACTTAGAAGAAATAGCGCCACAGCTGAATGTTTGGAACAAACACAGGCAATTGCAGATTCTCGTGATAGCATCTGGAGGGAATGACATGACATATGGAGGTTTGGAAAGAAATGCAATTTGGGACTAGAGAATTTTACTTCAAAGAATATCAACCCGGAACGGCGAACAACGGTGAGTAGCTCCTATAGAGGGCTGCATCCAATCGCTCTAGTGACTTTTGTTGGGCAACCTTCCAGAGGAAGGCGATTTAGGAATAATGGTGGAAGCAAAATAGTTGGAGAAGATCAGGAGAGTTTGTAGGTGACTGATTTTTAACGCTGCAGAGTATTCAAAATGGAGACAAGATGGTGGTGCTTCACGGTGACCTCATTTTGTGCAAGACCTTGGTTTCAGTAGATTCATCGAAGGTGGCGGTTATGTTGGAATGATGGCTACCTAAGTCTGTGAAGGGGTTGAAAGAAATTTTAGGCCTTGTAGGATACTACCAGAAGTTCGTTAAGGATAGTGCGCATTTTATTTATAATGCCCAAGAGGCATAGTTTTTGTTGTTTTTTGGCAAGTTTTTATTGCTCATTTTTGATAATTAATGCAAAATGCAATATTTCAAGGAATTTTGTTAAGGGTTGTAATTTGATTGTGTTGTTGAAGGGGTAATTAAAGAATGAAAACTTTCAGTTGGAGAAAGTGACGACACTGACTTTTAAGATGTTAAAAGAAGGTTATGACGTGTATTTTATTGGATTTCAGCCAACCTTTCATTATGGAGACAAATGCTTTAGGTTATGGATTAGGCGCAGTCTTCATGCAGTATCAACATCTCATCACTTATTTCAATCAAGTGTTGATAGCGAGCTTTATATTCAAGTCAGTTTATGAGTGTGAGCCTCACGACTTAATCCAACAACATTTTTTTTTCACCTTGATGACAAGATGTCTTGTTGGGAGGGTAGTAATGTTAGACCGGCATCTTAGGTTATTTTAGTATTTGTATTAGTTATTATTGTGGGATATAACTAGGGCTTAAAATGTTCGTGTTATGTTAGCTATGTATGAGATTGTTGTCTGGAATCTTAGGGTTATGTTTTGGTAAAGGACGCCTACCTCTCACATTATAGGTGTTAAGATTAGGGTTTGGGAGAGATCGCCTATCTCTCGAATTGCGGGTGCTTATTCTTTATGTATTTGACTTGTGTTGTTTGGTATTATTGAAATGAAATATTTGTTTGCTCTAATTTCCATGAAAAAATCGTCTCCTTTTCTATCCGGTTGTTGCAACATAGGGTCAATATAATGATTGTCAATGGAAGAATTAGGATGGATATATACTACGTTGCTTTTTGCTGCCTTCTTCAAGTTGTTTTAAATTCCATTGTACACATTTGTCTACAATTTATATCAAACAATTTACTTTTTTCCTGTATATTTTTAATTGTTAGTAGTAATTTTACATTAACGATGGCGGCTTTTGTTACCTTATTTCTTGTTATTCATCTCCAGGTTATACTTCCACCTGATGGATATTTAAAGGCTGTGAGAGATCTCTGTTCTCGGCACAACATTTTAATGATTGCTGATGAAATTCAAACTGGCATAGCACGCACTGGAAAAATGCTTGCTTGTGACTGGGAGAATGTTCGACCTGATGTTGTTGTGAGTTGTTTGCATTTTGTTTGATTCAGTTTTGCAAGGGTAATAGCCATGCTATTTGATATATAAATATGCATATATCTTTCTTCAAGAGAACTAACACATTTGTTTTATTCTTGTACAATTTACATCGTCATCCCCAAAGCATAACCAAAGATAATGTTTATGTTTGTCATTTCATGCTATTAGATAAATTTTTATTTAAGTTTTACTTTTATCCGTTATAGATCTTAGGGAAGGCATTAGGTGCTGGAGTAGTACCTGTTAGTGCTGTTCTTTCGGACAAGGATGTTATGCTTTGCATCAGACCAGGAGAACATGGAAGGTGTGCTTCTTTCCTTTGTTTTTGATAGCTTAATCTTCTTCTTCCTTGGTGGACAATGTATCTTTGAAATTATTTGTAAATTTTAGATCTTGTCATAGAGAACATCTTTAGATTAAATATTTGGAAAAACGAATAGTTGGTAAGATGAAAGAAGTTGTAGAAAGTTAAAATTCTTATGATGAGTTTTTTATTGAGGACTCTCTCTCTCTCTCTCTCTCTCCCTCTCTCTCTCTCTGTTTATGTTGGAGCGTGCACACGTGTATAATTTTTCCAAAGTTGAGATCATATTATGTACTCATCGGATAAATTTTGGCAGCACATTTGGTGGAAATCCTTTGTCAAGTGCTGTTGCAATTGCTGCATTGGAGGTTATTGTGGAAGAAAGGCTTATAGAAAGGTATTATTTCATCAAATTTCTTTGCTAAATATGCTTGTAATTTTTTTCTGCCAAATGTAGTTTTTAGCTTATGCTTATAATTGGATTTGGGGATCTGCAGGAAGCTATTTACTCAACATCATATTTTAAATTATATATTCTAAATTCCTACAAGTTAATCCATATATGAACCAGAACCAATTAACTAGTTCCTTTCAAATTATATTCTAAATTCCTAAAACTTAATACACATACCACTTTCTCACAAGTTGAATGTATAGTTTTTTAGGGCATAGTTGTGTTTATGTGATGTGACTTGTTGCTGATCTGTTTTACCAGATCTTTGTATTATTTTATTTGTCTTTGCCTATTTATATATTATTTTATAATAAGGAAAGGAGCATGCACTTACTATTGCATCCGTCAAGGAGATTACTGAATCCTGTTTTGAAACTTTTTAAATGCTTCTTTATACTTGAAGCTTAAAATCTTGCCTGTTGGGGATTTGATGATTCTAGTTTACAAATTAAAATTAATTATACCACTCAATTTTAACATCCTTGGGGCAAGGGCGTGGTTGTTCGATCTCTCTCCTTCATAGCATCAAATATAAGGGCCTGGTTTTAGTCTTCCAAAAATACCTCTCCTTTTCCCCGCCCTCTTTTATATCCTTTGTTAGGCTGCCATATGTAGGGCTGTCAATTTGGCTCGTTGTTCGTGAATAACTCGTGTTCGGCTCGTTAAATAGCTCGTGTTCGGCTCGTTTGTTAAGCCTAACGAGCTGAACACGAACAAATTTTTAAGCTCGAAATGTAAACGAGCCGAACACGAACAACAGTTTGTTCGCTCGTGTTCGGCTTAAAATGACTCGAAAAAAAAATTATATAACTTTTTATATAACAATATAGTACATATATTATTTATATAATAATATATTATATATATTTATGTCTAAGTTTAAATCATAACACCTCATGTGACAATGTGGTTAGTGTCTTCTTTTGTATATATTTGATCCAGGTTCAAATCTCACATTTTACATTTATTTTTCTCAATTTTAGTTTAACGAGCCAATTTCAAGCCGAACACGAGTCGATTTCGAACACGAGCTATTTCGAACGAGCCGAACACGAGCCAAGCCTGAGCTCGCTCAAGCTCGACTCATTTACATCCCTAGCAATATGTGCCCTGTTTATTGCTGTGTTTTTCCTTGGTGTGTGCCAATCTTTTGCGTAATTTATTCATTTGTTGATATGATTTTGCAGAACATATAGAAAGCTAAGCGAAGGATTCATCATTCTAGTATATTTGGAAACTTGACATAGTTCATGACACAGGGGCTATGGAGGACCGATCAGTCCTCAAAGGGAGGGGGGGTTGTCGCTCCCCCTTTTCCTTTCTCTCCCCTTCCCCTCTTTCCTCTTTGCACCTTCCTAATATAAGTCTTTCCAAATCTGAGTTTTTTAATATATTTATTCCTCTTTCCTAAATCTGAATTTCCATTATAATCTCTTTCCTAAACTGAATTTCTAAATCATAACTTCTGAATATTTTATTCTTTTTTTATAAATATGAATTTTCATTGTGTTAATCCCTTTCTTGAACTGAATTTTTTATTGTTTTTTCTTATTTTAAAACTTGCCTAAATTGAGTCTTAGTCCCATTATAAATAGAGGGTGTTTTGTTTGGAGTTAAGGAGTCATTTTGCTGAGTTTTTTTTTTTGGATTTTCTTTGTGGAATCATTTTCCCTTTTGTAGAGCTGTATTTGAGGAGTTAGTGGTACTCCGGTTGTTGATGTATCTCGCATTTTCACCTAACCCTAATACTTCTCCGGCACTCTTCTTAATCACCGCCTCTCCTACACTTGTCCCAAGCAACCGCTGGCTACTGCCCTGCCTCCAACCACTCCCAGCAGCCTCTTTGGGTCAGCCTTCTTCTTCCCGCTGCTGCTCCTTGAATCCAACACCCCCAGCAACTGCCAGACTACCCACTGCAACCTTGCAGGCCATCCAGCCTCTTCCCTGCACCCAACCAGCTGCAGTACAGCTTTTTCCTCCCTCCAATCTGCTGCAAGCCTTCTCCTAGCAAGGCCGCAGCTCTCTTTTGCTCCCTGCCTCGTAGGCCATCTGCCTTCCACCTTGCTTCCTGCAGGCCTCCAGTCTCTGCCCATCGGATTCAGCCCTGACAATGATTTTTCCCTCGTCCAGCTATGGTTCGACGCCACCCCTTCCGCTGCCTTGCTGCTCCCCCTTTATTCCCCTTCAAACTGCAGCAAGCTACATCTTCTATTGCCGCACGGCCTTCACCACTGCCGCTATCACCTACTCCTTTTTTCAGATTTTCTGCTCGTCAAGTTTGTTTGTGTCGTGCTTGTTGTGTTGTGTGTTTGCTTTTATTCTGCACCATTGCTTTCGGTGTTCTCTTTACTTTGTGTCTTCATTGTAATCTCATTTAGAGTCAGCAATAATATTCGTATTTTAGAGTCATGGTTTGGGTCAACTCTGGTATCACTTTCTCCAATTCATTTCTCTTTTGACTACTGGTAAATATGTTTATGATCCCATATTGAATTGTCCGATTATAACCCAATTCCTAATGCTTTACACTCCATTAAACTAAAATCAATATTATTCTACGTGGATTGAAAGCATTCTGCATATATATTTTTAAATTTCACTCAGGTTTGTAGGAACCTCAACTCCAAGTAATCGAAGAAACAACTGCAAAACCTCGATTTAGCTAGGCCTCTCGTTCAGCCTAGCTGCATAAAATCTAGTGCCCGGCTGCATGAAATTTATTATAGAGTATGTTTAGTTCTATTTTGATATGCCACGACAATCCCGGTCCCGGGTAGAGGAGTAATTGAAGTACTTCTGAAGCCTCACACCATATTTCGGGAAATGTTAGAATGAATTATTATTCCCAATGGATGACGTAAGGAAGGACATTACTTCGATCCATTTTGTGTTCTAATATTTGAAGTCTTTTCTGTACTTTGCTTCCCCTGCTGTACAACCCCTTAGTGGTAGAAGTAAAGTAATTGGGATTTAAAGTGCTTTGATGATGCTTATATTAAAGCAAACACGAACCTTTTTTTACCTGATGATATTAGCATCAGTGAATTAGCTACTTTCACTAAGGTTAGTGTATCATATTAGCTGAAGTAGATTAGATTACTTTTGATAGTTCTGAACTGACACGACTTGAAAAGATTATTATTTGACTCTCTTGGTTGAAAGACAAAGCTCTCAACTACTAAGGCTAACGTTACTTGCATTAGTATAATCATAACGTTGGCTTGAATGTTATCCCCGTAACATTCCTGTGGCTGTCAGCAAACCTCAATCATCTTTCTTTTATTTCTCCCTTTTTTCAACAATGAGAAAAAACTTTGGATTCATTCCTATCTAATTTGGGGCATTTACATGCACAGTATTCTTATCTATATACATATCTAGCACCTAAACTTTAATATAAATATGCAGCATCACTTAAAAACACCGCAATTACTAACTTTTTAAAATTGAAATACATATTTTTATGCATAGATATTTAATACAAAAGTGTTACACATGTAACCATAAAACTTTAGGTGTAAGATATTTGCATGCAAATTTTTTTATTTTTTATTATAGCTGTATATGACATTTGTTTCGCTCTCTGCAGGGCTGCTGATCTAGGTCAAGAATTTAGGAATCAGTTAATGAGGGTTCAACAGCAATTTCCGCAAATTATTAAAGAAGTTCGTGGGAGAGGCTTGCTCAATGCAATAGACCTTACAAGCGAAGCCCTTTCTCCTGTGTCTGCTTATGACTTGTGCCTTAAACTGAAGGAAAGAGGCATCCTTGCGAAGCCTACGCACGACACCATAATTCGTCTTGCTCCTCCACTCTGTATTAGGTAAGTAGACACTGATTGTTTTAACTCAATGAATTTTTTTTCTACATATGATATCCTTCTATTCTGAA